CACCCTGGCCATAACCCTGACCCCTAACCCCTAACCCAAACTCTAACTCCAACCCTAACGCTAACCCCTAGCCCTACCGCTAACCCCTAACCCTAACCCTGACACCGGACCCTGGCCATAACCCTGACCCCTAACCCCTAACCCAAACTCTAACTCCAACCCTAACGCTAACCCCTAGCCCTACCGCTAACCCCTAACCCTAACCCTAACTCCAACCTGTGACCCTAACTCTCTAACCTCTGACCTCTGTCATTTTCGCTCTCCGTGTGCGCTCGCAGTCGGACCATCCGTCGGAGGGCGTGCCGACCTACGACCCGCAGGCGATGTCCACGAGTGAGATGATGATCGCGGGCGGCGGGGGCGGGGGCGGGGTGACTTCCCCCGTGCAGCACCTCGCCGCGCGAGCCATCATGCGAGACTTCGCGGGGCTGGAGGGCGGGGACGAGCGGACGCGCGCGGCCATGATGAACTTCAGCTACTACCTCGCCGTTGGCAACATGGACGAGGCGTACAAGGCGATCAAGCTCATCAAGAGGTGCGTGTGTGGGTGGGAGGGGGTGTGTGGGTGGGTGCGTGTGTGTGGTGGTGTGTGGGTGGGTGCGTGCGAATGGGTTGGTGGAGTGTGTCACGTCTGTCATGTATCGGCTGCCGTTTGTACTTTGTCGTTTGTCATCTGTCGTCTCTTATCTGTAACCGGACATCTCTGACATGTCATCTGTCATACGTAACTTGTCATCTGTAACTTGCCATCTGTCATTTGTCCTCCGTCATCTGTCACCTGCCATCTGTCATCCATCATCTGTCATCTGTAATCTGTCACCGTGCCTCCGTATTATTGTCGTTAATCGCTAACGAGCGATCCCGCTGCTTCTTTTCTTCGACTCGCAGTGAGTCAGTCTGGGAGAACATGGCGCGCATGTGCGTCAAGTCACGACGGCTAGATGTCGCCGCCGTCTGCCTCGGCAACATGGGTCACGCGCGCGGGGCGAAGCAGCTGCGGGCGGCGATGAAGGAACCAGAGCTAGATGCTGCCGTCGCGATGTTGGCGGTGCAGCTGGGAATGTTGGTGAGTGTTGCAGGAAATGTTGGCAAGTGTTGCCGGGAATGTTGGTGAGTGTTGCTGGGAATGTTGGCGAGTGTTGCTGGGAATGTTGGCGAGTGTTGCCGAGAATGTTGGTAGGTGTTGCTTGGAATGTTGGTAGATGTTGCTGTTGCTGGAACGATCGAAAATCGAAAATACGCGTAAAAAAACCACGCATTCGATACGAAAAACGAAGATGCCAAAAATTCTTGCATCATATCACGAAAAATCAGTCCATCTCCCTTCACTGTCATTAGTGATTGAGTTATTATTCTTCATATTGCTAGTATCGCTTTTGATATGTAGTTTCCCGCGTGTCTGGCGTAATGTCGACGCCTGACGCCGTGGATGGAACTTTGCTTGCAGGATGAAGCGGAGCGGCTTTACATCAACTGCCACCGCTACGATCTTCTCAACAGGTTCTACCAGGCACGAGGCATGTGGGAGAAGGTAAGAGAGGTGGGGGAGAAGGTAAGAGAGGTGGAGGAGAAGGTAGGAGGTATGGGGAAGAAGGTGAGAGATGTGGGAAAAGGTAAGAGAGGTGGGGGAGAAGGTAAGAGAGGTGTGGGAAGTACGAGAGTGGGGAAGAAAGGTGCGAGATGTGGGGGAGAAGGTAAGAGGTATGGGAGAAGTGAGACGATGTGGGCGAAGCTAAGAGGTACGGGAGCAAAGGTGAGAGATGTGTGAGGAGAGGTAAGAGCCGTATGGGGAGAAGGTAAGTGATGTGTTGGAGCGGAGAGGTCAAGCAGAGGCTGGGGCAGAACGTGTAAGAAGTATGGGGGAGAAGCGTGCAAAAGAGGTGGGGGAGAAGGTGAGAGATGTGGGGGAGAAGGTGAGAGGTGTGTGGTAGAAGGTAAGAGGTATGGGGGAGAAGGTAAGAGATGTGGGAGAGGTGAGAATGTGGGAGAAGGTAAGAGGGTATGGGGGAGAAGGTTGAGAGATTTGGCGAGAAGGTAAAGCCAGCTGTGGGAGAGAAGGGTGAGAGATTTGGGAGAACGGTAAGAGAGGTGGGGAGAAGGTAAGAGAGGTGGGGGAGAAGGTAAGAGGTGTCGGGGAGAAGGTAAGAGAGGTGGGGGAGAAGGTAAGAGGTATGGGGGAGAAGGTGAGAGATGTGGGAGAAGGTAAGAGAGGTGGGGGAGAAGGTGAGAGGTGTGTGGTAGAAGGTAAGACACCCGTGAGAGAATTCACAATTAGCGATTGCATCTCCTGCCACTGCCATATCAGACACGTTCGCTTGTTTCAGGCGATGGAGATTGCCGAGGTCTACGATCGGCTGCATCTGAGGTCGACCTACTACAACTACGGCAAATATCTCGAGTCGAGGGGCGACTTCTCATCGGCCATCTTACAGTAAGTTAATAAATACCATGTGTGCGTGCATGTGCAAGCGTGGGTGAGTGCGTGTGCGTGCAAGCGTGAGTGAGTGCATGCGTGTGCATGTGCGTGCGTGAGTGAGTGAGGGTAGATTAGTATGACGATGGTAGTCGTGATGAAGTTACGATTGTTCTCATTATTGGTATTGTTGTTATTGTTGTTACTGTTGTTGTTGTTATTATTAGGGTTCTCATTTTTGCGGCTGTTGTTGTGGTGGTGGTGGCGGCAATGACGATATCAGCCATGGTGAAGCTACGATTATTGCTGTTGTTGTTGTTGTTGTTGTTGTTCTGGTTGTTGTTGTTGTTGTTGTTCTGGTTGTTGTTGTTGTTGTTCTGGTTGTTGTTGTTGTTGTTGTTGTTGTAGTAGAAACACCTGTCATGACAATATTACGATTTCGTTGCTGTTGCGGCGGCAGGTACGAGAAGTCAGGCACGAGTAAGTTTGAGGTTCCGCGCATGCTGTTTGATGAAAGCCCGGCTGACCTCGAACGCTACATCATGCAGACAAAGGACACGTGAGTGGCTGAGGGAGGCTGAGGGGGGAGGGCTGCTGAGGGGGAAGATAGAGGGATGCCTGAGGGGTAGGATGGAGGGATGCTGGGGGTGGGGGAAGGATGCTAAGGGGGGATGGAGGAAGGCTGATGGGGCGGGTGGATGGATGCTGATAGGGGAGAATGGAGGGAGGCTGGTGGAAGGGTGGAAGAATTCTGAAGGAGGAGGGAGGCTGAGCAGGGAGAATTGAGGGAGGCTGAGGGGGGAAGATGGAGGTATTGAATGGTGAAGATGCAGGGATAGGATTGTTTTTAGGACATGCTATCACAGCAGTGATACCCCGGGCACCGGAAACTCATGACGTTTATTCACATTTTTCGTTCATTTTTTACGGTATTTATTACATTTATGTTATATAATTCATTATTCACGTATACGGCTTTTTCGTATAGTCTTTTTGTGACGAGATTTGTTTTCGTTGCGCGAGGCAGGCACCTGCACAAGTGGTGGGCGCAGTACATGGAGAGCCTGGGTGAGATGGAGACGGCCATGCAGTTCTACGAGGCAGCGCGCGACTGGCTGTCGCTGGTCAGGGTCTACTGCTACTGCGGAAACATAGTCAAGGTGCGCGCAGCTGCGATGCAGTGTAGAGATCAATGGATTACCCATTGTACATGTGTGTGTGTGTTCGCATGCGTGCGTGCATGGGTGGGTGCGTGTGTGCCAGGTTGACTGAATGAAAATTCCAAAAAGTGTAGAAGATTATCCATTCTGTAGTGGCAACAGCTAACGCGGTGGAATTGAATGAAAGGTGATAATTTGATGATATCTACGGTAATAAACCGTCGTGGCTGCTCTGCTTGGTTTGTCTCCGTGCCCTTCCTACAAATCCCACGTAGCATATGTACGTATCTATCTCTTTTTGTTCAAATCGTGTTTTGTTCTTATCATTCTTAGTATTGTACGGTATTCTACTAGTCTTTCTCAGTGGATCTTGATAACCCTTTTCTAAAAAATTCATTAAAAATACTAAAATAAAAATGTAGAAAGTAAGAATTTTTTTTAAATTTGATTCCGACATGCTGCTTGTCGCGCAGGCGTCTGAGATAGCCAACGAGACGGGTGACCGGGCCGCCTGCTACCATCTCGCGCGCCAGTACGAGAACCAAGAGAACATCAAGGAGGCGATTCACTTCTTCACGCGCGCGCACGCCTACGGAAACGCAATCCGCATCTGCAAGGTACGTGTCGGTTGTTCGTAGGGGGCGCCGGCGCAGGAATGGGCCGTTGTTCGTGGAGGGTTCATTCGTGCGTTTGTTAATGCCAGGGTTATTTGTTGATCTGTTGTTCGTTGCTCTGTAGGAACATCGGCTGGATAATCAGTTGGTGAACCCGGCATTGTTCATAGAGGGTTCATTCATTGCGATGGTTCGTTCGTTCACACGTTGTTCGTTGTTCTGTAGGAACATGCGTTGGACGATCAGCTCGTGAACCTTGCGTTGTACAAGCGATGGTTCGTTCGTTCACACGTTGTTCGTTCGTTGACACTGCTCCGTTCGTACGGAACATGCGTTGGATATTAGCTAATGAAACTTGCGTTGGTCAACGCGATGTTCGTCGTTCACTACTTGTTCGTTGTTCTGTAGGAACATGTCGTTGATGATCAGCCGTGAACATTGCGTTGTATACAAGCGATGTTCGTACTCGTTCACACGTTGTTCGTTGTTCTGTAGGAACATGCGTTGGACGATCAGCTTGTGAACCTTGCATTGTACAGCTCTCCGGAGGACATGATTGACGCGGCGCGTTACTACGAGAAGAAACGCAGCACAAGGACAAAGCCGTCATGCTCTACCACAAGGTGAGTCGCGTTGCCACGACGACGCCTATGTAGCGTCGCCATGACGGCGTGACAATGCCTTATCCTGTCCCCTTGATGACCCATGAGTAATGTCGCTGTGATTATATTTACACTCATACAGTGGTGATATTTACAAGTTATTCAATGTATTACGATCTCGTTGCCTCAGTCGTGTTTAATCCCGTCACCTCAACGACCGATGCGTCGCGTTCCCATGACGACCCTTACATCGTGTCACGTGATAATTTATACATCTCATTGCTGCAGTGATGTGAATTCTGTCCGCATAATGAGTCCCATACGATCGTTTCGCCATGAAATTCGAGCGGGCGAACATGTAACCAAAAAACTTGGCTAAGGTAAAATCGCTCACGTTTCCGCGTTTTTCCACCAGGCGGGTACCTGACGCGCGCCGTCGACATGCGTTCAAGAGCCATCAGACGTCGGCGCTGCACCTGATATCGGGCGACCTCCAGGACAGCACCGATCCGGAGCTCGTGTCCAAGATGGCCCAGTTCTTCGTCGACAACGGCCAGTACGACAAGGCAGTGGACCTGCTGATAAAGGGGAAGAAGGTGAGGAGAGGGGAGAGAGAGAGAGGGGGGGAGGGGGTCGGGGCGAGAGAAAGAGAGATGGAGAGAGAGAGAGAAGAGGAGAGAGAGAGAGAGAGAGAGAAGAAAGAGAGAGAGAGAGAGAGAGAGAGAGAGAGAGGAGAGAGAGAGAGAGAGAGAGAGAGAGCGAGAGCGAGAGCGCGAGAGCGGAGCGAAGAGCGAAGCGAGAGTGAGAGCGAGAGAGAGAGCGAGTTTCATGCAGCGAGGGTAAAGGAAGTGAGAGTGATGGTTGAGAGAGAGGGGTTGGTTACATGCAGTCAGGAGCGGCACAGTGATTATTGCTCAAAACATCTCACCACTGGGTCCCGATTCTTATCCCAGCCCTACACTCTTTCAGTACTTCGACGCTCGTCGACCTCATGCGTCGAGTACAACATCCAGATCAGCGAGGAGCTCGCCGAGCGATTCACGCTCGACAAGAGAGCATCCGACGGCGGCGGCGGCGGCAGGAGGACGCGGCGACGCGCGGGGCGAGCTGGAGGAAGATAGGCGGACTGTGCGATGCAGCAGCGATCGTACCACCTCGCGACGAAGAAGTACACGCAGGCCGGAAACAAAGTCAAGGTAGGTGGCGCTGGAGCGTACAGAGCGAAGGTAGCGGGCACGCATAATGTAAGTGGTAGGTAGATAGGGGGAGAGCATGTGGTAATGAGAGCATGGATCATTATATGCCAATGAAGATAGTGGGCGCATCAATAGATGAACAGGCAACACCGTTGTATACACAGTGAATGTAGGGGGCGCCATCGTGCGCAGCATGGCCGGCCCGCTACAAGCTCTCGCTCTGCTGGGCTACCAGGCCACGATGAGGGCGGCTACTGAAGTCTGGCGACACGGTAGGCGGGAGCGCCGTCGTGCGCAAGCATGGCGGCGCCTACAACGCTCGCTCTTCGCTGAACAGCAGCGGCTATGACGGGGGCTCTACTGAAGTCTGCCGCGACAACGTGAGGGGCGCCGTCGTGCGCAGCATGGCGGCCCGCTACAACTCTCGCTCTCGCTGCTACACAGGCGATGAGGGCGCTACTGAAGTCTGGCGACACGTAGGGGCGCCGTCGTGCGCACGCATGGGCGGCCGCTACAACTCTCGCTCTCGCTACACAGGCTATGAGGGCGCTACTGAAGTCTGGCGACACGGTAGGGGGCGCCGTCGTGCGCAGCATGGCGGCCCCTACACACTCTCCGTCTCGCTACACAGGCTATGAAGCGCCGCTACTGAATCTGGCCGACGACGGAGGGGCGCCTCGTGCGCAAGCATGCCGGGCCGCGCTACAACTCTCGCTCTCGCGCTTACACAGGCGATGAGCTCTATTGAAGTCTGGCGACACGGTAGGGGCGCCGTCATGCCAGGCATGGCGCCCGCTACAGACTCTCGTCTCGCTACATCAGGTCTTGAGGGCGCTACTAAGTCTGGCGACACGGTAGGGCGCGCGTCGTGCGCAGCATGGGCCGCTACAACTCTCGTTCTCGCTACACAGGCTATAGCGGCGCCTACTTGAAGTCTGGCGACACGTAGGGGCGCCGTCGTGCGCAGCATGGCGGCCCGCCTACAACTCTCGCCTCGCTGCCTACACAGGCGATGAGGGCGCTACTGAAGTCTGGCGACACGGAGAAGATTGTGTTCTTTGCGAACGTGTCTCGGCAGCGCGACATCTACGTGATGGCCGCAAACTACCTGCAGACGCTCGACTGGAAGAAGGACCCGGCGTGATGAAACACATCATCGCCTTTCTACACGAAAGGGCCGCTCGCTCGACTCCCTCGCTCGCTTCTACGAGTCCTGCGCACAGGTAGGCTTCCTCTGTCTCTCTATCTTTCTCTCCTTCTCTGGCTTTCCTTTCCCTTGCTGGGATTCCTTTTTCTTGCGTGCTTCTACGAGTCCTGCACACAGGTAGGCTTTCGTATTGTCTGCTCCCTCTGCTCTTTCTCTCTCTTCTCCTCCTCCTCTGGCTTCCTTTCCCTCGCTGAGTTCCTCTCCCTGCACCGCCTTCTACCGTCCTGCGCACAGGTAGGCTCCTCTGTCCCTGTAGGCTTCTTCTGGTTTCTTTCTGGCTTCCTCTTCCTCTTCTGGCTTCCTTTCAACTCACTGATTTCTTTTCGCTCAGCGTGGTTTTGCTAAGAGTCCTGCGACAGGTGGCTTCCTCTCCTTTTGGTACGCTTTTACGAGTTGGACGGCGCTGGTGGCTAATATAATATTGTGAAATTTTTATTCGTCATAAATCAAAACAAACGTGATCAGTTATTTCTACTTAACCCTGATAGAACCCAAGCTTGGCTCTGAAAAAGAACATGAAAATTGGATCCGACCTAGTCGTTGTCATCACTGATAGAACCTAAGCACTGACAGCACGCTCCTCGCACGCCCCAGAATCACTAAAAACGTCCTCGATTTCCTAAAATCGACGCTCAAGTTCGTAAAGATTGCGATCCCGCCCCGCGATGGTCATCACTGATAGAACCCAAGACAGTAGCAGCTCCCTCGCTCCTTAAAACTGTAAATATGTCCTTGATCCTTAAACTCACCCCCGCGCGTGGCGGCGGTCTGACACCTGGCTTCTGTGTCGGCAGGTGGAGATAGATGAGTACCAGAACTACGAGAAGGCACTGGGAGCATTCGGGGAGGCGCAGAAATGCCTCGCCAAGGCGACGATGGAGAACCAGTCGGAGAAGGAGGATCGCATCGCGCGCGTCAAACGCAAGATAGACCTCGTCAAGAAGTTCGTGCAGGCGCGGCGGTGAGTGCAGAGGGAGGAGGGGGAGGAGGAGAGGGGTGGGAGAGAGGCGGAGGAGGGAGGCATGAAGGGGGGAGGGGTATATATTTATTTATTTATTCATTTATGATCAGGAATAACTAATAAAAGCAGATATACTGTAACATAAAAACCTACGATAAAATAAAACATACGATAAAAACAAAAACAATGAAATTTGTTTTTTACGCATACCTAATATAATATGCATTATATAATATATATATAATAGCGCGTTCACACGTAGCAAAATCCACGGTTCGTACGCGTACCAAACAGAGTTTCGTACGTACTCGCGATAAATTTCCCTCGTCTGAACGACCACGTATAGCTATACTCGGTTTTAAACGCGTATCACTATCCTGACAAAAGGAGTGCGTTTCCTACGTACTTCGTATAGCTGTACGCGTATAGCAGACGTGTGAACGACCGGCTATAGCTATACGCGTA